AGGGAGCAGTGTTCCACACACAAAAGATACTGAGGAGCCAAAGCTGAGCAATCTTTCCAAAAATGTCTTTGGAGCATCATGTGCCATTCCTTCATCATGAGCAGGAGGAACAGTTGTACCCATTAAAAACATTTGGATTCTAAGCATTCTTGAAGCTACGAGGAATTTTTACAACCTGTGGCTGGATGGACATGGAGGTACAGGCAAAAAGAATGAAAGATGCTGAAACAAAGTCTCTAGCAGGACTTGAAGCCAAACTCTGGCCCATATCAGATGCATTGTTAAGATCAGCATGGAAACATAAGGCCACCAGAAGGAAAATGAAGGCTGCTAAGAATAAAGAACCTATCATCCAAGATGAACCATCTACAGAAGCAAGATGGCCCCACCTCAGGCAAGCAAGCCCAGAGCCCTGGCACTACAGAAGGGAAAAGCAGCATGACTGGGACAGCTGACAGCAAGTTGCAGAACTCACAGGATTATGCTTCTGTAAGACCTACATACCAATGGTGCAACAGCCGGGACCAGTGGAAATGCTAGCAGAGGCTATCAGGATTCTTGGAGAACAGTCAGTTCCTTGGCAGATGTTATGGAACACACATCTCTCTCAAAGTCCAGAGCAAATGATCAAAAAGGTATTTGAGTGAGGCAGCTGTTCTGATATTCACCTGACAGTCAAATACAACCTGAGGATGATGAAGCCTCATTTGGTTGTGGTTTTTTTTTTTTTTGGTCTGTGCTATAAACCATCTCCAGTTCCATTCAAATGAGGATGAATTCCACAGAGCTGACTCCAAGCCTTAACCAAAACTCAAGGGAAACTGCCAAGATGATACAGATGAATATATGAAGCAAACAGCATTCTTGAGACACCTGCCAGCAACAGGTCTCCTGTTCAGGACAGCTGATAACTCCACAGAAAACCAGAGAGCAAGGAGGCACTTCATCTTGCTGAGGCCATCCAAGAGGAACTGAGGACCACAGAATAGACTTCAGCAGGGAACAGCAAATAAAACCAAGAGGTGCTGGTAGAGTAAGACGTGTATGATCTTGATTCCTTACAGGGCACAAGTATCCATGCTTGTCCATATTCTGTATATAAGCAGGCACTGGAAGAATACATTTTTATGTACAATATCAACTTACACAGGCTTAGAGTAATTAACACTGTAGGTTACTTAAGCCACATCTTATACATACAAGCACAACACAGTGCTACACTTATTGTGACATACCATTTCACTGTAAGACACAGCTTACAGCCCTCTTCATTAAGCACAGGTCAGAAGAATACATTATCTGCCCCAATTTTAAATAATTAATGCCTGTTGACTGGTTCTCCAACACTCACTACACAACCCATGTTAATATTCTCTAAAAAGCCCAAAACTAACATAATTTGTTTTAATGCATTTTCTTAGGGTAACAAGGTACATGAGATATATGCAGGACTCCTCCTTCCCTGCACTAGGCATTAGAAACCCATGTGGGTGAAAATGCTCATGAATGAAAGCCACAGGAAAGCCAACCCCAGTGTTGCTGCCACTGAACTGCTGTTATTTTATCTGCCCTATACTGCTAGAAAGCATAGATGCTACTTCCTTCATAAACCTTATGTGTACATTTCATCTATTTAGCCCACTAAATTATACTTATTACTAACAGTAACAGCAGGCTTGAAGCCTGAGCCTTCCAAATGCTGGAAAGCTCTTCATATTTACTCCAACTACACACAAGAGCTGTGGGAAAAGCGGAAGTAAGGACTGGAGACACATGCTGGCTTGCATAACAGTCAAACATAACCAGAGGAATGCTTAGTAGCCACACTTGTTTCCAGACTTACAGAGAAATTAAGAGACCCACGTAAGTGGAGAGCTAATTCTCCATATTGTCAGCACCATGTGTTCCAGAGGCCAATATCCCAGCTGGATTTTTAACAGTTTCATTCTAACAGCACTGTAAGAATTGCTTGGAAGCCTTTATCCACCAGAAAGGAACAAAAAGGGCCCAAGTCTAATGTATTAAAACGACACAGAACTGCAGCCTTCCTGGGCATTTCCAAAGGACCTACTAAAATTGCAACTAACATTGTCTACTGCTAGCTCTCATGTTTAACTGAAGACATGAGATGATAAAGGAAAGGAACTGTTGCCTCCATAGTTCTAAGTTTCGGATCAAAAGATACTATACTATAAATTTAATCAAGACCTCAAAGTTGTCAGAGGCAGTGATGGAACCAGCATCACCAGGAATATGTAATGCTACTATTCCTAAAATATTGTGTTCTGAAGTCAAGTTTTCTGGAATTATCGACACCTTTGTCAGCAACAGGAGAAAACTACCTCCAGCACCAAAACTCTCCAGGAAAAACAGGGGATTATGCACTTAGTGAAATGCGTATCATGACAGCAATGACTGAGGTTAGCTGGCTTTATTCATGCAGATTTACACCCCAACGTTCTGCAAGAAGCAGAACAAAAACAGTTTCCAAAGTGGATACTGTTTAATCTCATCAGCCTGACAGTATGAAATCACTGCCTAAGAACAAGTATCTTGTAACTGGAGTAAAGCAAGGGATCAGAATTATCAGTTCTGATGTAAAATTTAAACACATGCACATGATACAGCCAAACATAAGCACGGATGAGAAGCCAGTGCTTCCCTGGATCAAATACCAAAACCCAGTTATTTCAGACTCCTTACCAATGGATGTACCCAGTATACAGTCTCCTGTATATCAGGGCCCATAATACCACTGTACTGGCAATAAAACAAAGTATGTAGGATCTCAGGGAAGTCCTTTAAGGAACAACAACAAGCAGAAAGGGGAGATGAGGTGATGAGTGGTGTCCCTCAGGGATCGGTGTTGGGACCGGTCTTGTTCAACATCTTTGTCACTGACATGGACAGTGGGATTGAGTGCGCCCTCAGCAAGTTTGCTGATGACACCAAGCTGTGTGGTTCGGTTGATACACTGGAGGGAAGGAATGCCATCCAGAGGGACCTTGACACCCTTGTGAGGTGGGCTGATGCCAACCTCATGAAGTTTAACCATGCCAAGTGCAAGGTCCTACACCTGGGTCAGAGCAATCCCAGGCACAGCTACAGGCTGGGCAGAGAAGAGATTCAGAGCAGCCCTGCAGAGAAGGACTTGGGGGTGCTGGTCGATGAGAAAATGAACATGAGCCGGCTTCAGTGTGCGCTTGCAGCCCAGAAAGCAACCGTATCCTGGGCTGCATCAAAAGGAGCGTGACCAGCAGGTCGAAGGAGGTGATCCTGCCCCTTTATTCTGCTCTTGTGAGATCTCATTTGGAGTATTGTGTGCAGTTCTGGTGTCCTCAACATAAAAAGGACATGGATCTGTTGGAACAAGTCCAGAGGAGGCCACGAGAATGATCAGGGGACTGGAGCACCTCCCCTGTGAAGATAGGCTGAGACAGTTGGGGCTGTTCAGCCTGGAGAAGAGAAGGCTGCATGGAGACCTCATAGCAGCCGTACAGTATCTGAAGGGGGCCTATAGGGATGCTGGGGAGGGACTCTTCAGTAGGGACTGTAGTGGTAGGACAAGGGGTAACGGGTTAAAACTTAAACAGGGGAAGTTTAGACTGGATATAAGGAGGAAATTCTTTCCTGTTAGGGTGGTGAGGCACTGGAACAGGCTGCCCAGGGAGGTTGTGAATGCTCCACCCCTGGCAGTGTTCAAGGCCAGGTTGGACGAGGGCTTGGGCGATACAGTTTAGTGTGAGGTGTCCCTGCCCATGGCAGGGGGGTTGGAACTTGATGATCTTAAGGTCCTTTCCAACCCTAACTATTCTATGATTCTATGAAAAACAGAACTTCCCCCATAATTCAGCTAACAGTTTTCATAAATACCAGTATGGGAGCACTGCCTCAGTCAGGTTGTAATTCTGCATTTTGATATCAATTATCAGTTACAATGCAACATTGGAGTGTCTTTCCTTAGAGTAAATACACTTTTGCACACGAAATCATTGTCCAAGCAAGTAGGACAGCGGCAAAAGAGCCTCACCACAAACAAATGGCCTCCAGACAAAACCTCCAAGAGAATTTTAGCCAGCAACAAAAGCATTCTGAGAAGCAAATGTTTCTATTACATATTAAACGCAGTTGCTTTCCAAGCAGTTTTTAATTAGTCAAACCGGAATATTCTACAGCTGTTGCTCAAACTCCCCCCCTCTCTCCTCAGATTGATTCTTCTGTCATACTCTGTTCTTGAACCTGCATCTTCTTCCTTTCCTTATTCAGGTAAATTTTATTACTGAGCAGTGTCCATCGACATCACTTTCCTAAGTGAGCACATCAATTCTCCATGGAAGTCACTGAATCTTTGAAACTTACCGCCTAAAAATACTGTCCTGTACTGAATAGACAATGGTTCATGAAACCGTAAGTCCCACTGTTTTACTATAAAACTGAAATTAAATAAAAAGCACACCCTAGATGTGTGTAATGCAGATGTAATTTTAAGTCATTATGATATAAACATGTATTTCTGTCTAATAAATAACAGTGATATAGAAAAGCTACATAAAAACATCTTGTCAAAAAAAATGTGCATCTGCTTTAATAAGGCATGAAGGGATCTGAAGAACCAGGCCCATCTCAGCTGACAGAAGAAGTCCACTACCTGTTGAATGTGACATCCATCCTTTGCCACTGCAAGATTTAGAGGAGTTACAAAGAAAAATTAACACATACTAGGAAATGCAGGATGTGGTGTAAGTCTAATACTTCTCTGTACTACTTTGTCACGTTATGCAAGGAAAAGAAAAACATTTTCAGCCACAGTTGAGATAACACTCCAAACAAGACCACTGTTACTGATCATTTTTATGCTCTTAAACAGCTGGTTTTGCTATAATCAACATAATTATACCATGTAGCCATGACATACAGACCTTTGTTCCCAAAAGTTATTAGTATTATGCAAAACAAATTACACAGCTTGTGAAATATAAAAACACAACATTGGAACTTACAGTATTTAACAAAATCCTTCTGAAAATCCTTCCTAGAATTTACAAAGGCTCTTCCTCTCTCAGTTCCAACTACAAACACATCTCTTTCATATACAGCAATACAGGCAACTTCTGCTTTGGACTTGGCAAGTTCTTTACACTATGAAAAGAAAAACAAAAGCTTTTATTACTATAGTTAACAGTAAAGTTCATAGAAATGTATGTGGTATCGTATAAAACAGTTACTACTTCTGTTGCTAGCATCCACCCTTCAGAAGGTATTGCGAGTAACATAACACCAGCGATTGGCAAAGGATAATTTATACATCTGAAGTGCTTTTCATCAGGAATCTTAAAAGCATTGTAGATACATTAGGGAAATTAAGGCCTTGTGTAGAGTCAGAGATTGCACTGTTTTTAATTAAAGTGATTTATGACATCAATCCATGTGAAATTACCACTTCCCTGTTAGATAATCATATTGAGTGTCTTACTGCAACTTTCAACAAAGCATACAGGAGTTTGTTCAGTCACAGCAGGCTTATCACACATCATGTTTGCTCAGAAAGGTGTGGTTGTGAGCAGGAAAGCTGCCTGCAGTCTACCTCGTCCTGCCTGCTGTGCTCAGGCTCAGGTGAATTCCTCCTGAGCAGAAGGAATGCACCTTCCCTGTGAACGCCTACATGCATTCTGTGGGAGAAATTTCTGGCAAAGAAGTGAAGTAGGAAGCCTGTGACACAAGGAGAGAGCAAAGATCCTAAGAAAATTAGTGAGATCATCAAGAAGGGATCACAAGAGGTCAATTTCTCGTAGGAGCTCAGATCAGAGGTTACTGCAACCTATAAAAACACCACCTACTGCAGCACAAGAGGAAAAAGCGACACAAAACCTTTAGGAATTGAATATAGCCATTGGCAAAAAAGGCTTGCAATCCCTTAGGCTTGCATTGGCAAAAAAGGCTTGCAAAACCTTATAACCATCCCATTCAACTTTCATTGCTAAAAAGGAGATTTTTGTTCTTATCATTTAAGAAAATTATTTTAAAGAACCAAATATTTGACAGTGACTCAAATTTATGGAAATGGGACAAGCATTTTTACTCACAGCCCTGGGCCAAACTTAAACCCCACAACACAATGATTAAATAACTTCTACAAAACAGGTGATAGGCCAACTAAACACAGAAGTCTTTTCTGAACAAGTTCTGTTGAATTGGTACAGCAGTTGAGGACAAGGCTTTAGCCTCAAGAGCATTTATTCACCCTGTATTACAGAAGGTAAAGACCAGAACAGATTCTTGCCTTTCAACCACACTCTACCTGAGCAATCAATAATTTTTTCCTGTTTATTTGACAAAATAATTTTTAAAACAACCACATCACAACAAGAAACAAGATGACTGCTAAGACTGTTAGCATGATTTTCCATAATCAAAGAGACAGACTTAACAGTAGTTGGACAGCACACAAAAAGGTAAAGATATGAAATTACACCTTTCCTGATCCCCATAGGAGGCAATGTGGTGGTGTAATCCTGCACATGCCAAGAGAGTAATCATGCAGCTGCTTAATTTCTCTACTAACCATTGACTCAAGTGCTGACATGAGGAATTTAATCACCATTCTGCTTTCAGAGAAATCCTTATCACGAATGGATGTTGCTGGTGCAGTAGTTTGGGCCATTTTCTTCCTATAAAATGAAATAAAAGTAACCCTGTTCAGATACCCACAGCAGTGCAAGAAAATTAACACCTCTTAAGCAAGCAAAGATCAAAAACTATTCAAAACCCCAGAACACACCCCACCAAGCAAATACACAGGTAAATTAACAGGAAGCCCTTGCTCTTCTATGCTTTGATGCTTCCTGCTGTTTCATCCAAAGCTGGAACTAAACATTCAAGAGTTAAAATGCTGTGCCATGACTAGACCACAAACTCTTTCTGCTTAGAAAGATGTATATTAAATCATAAGCTAAATTTACATTGATTTTTCTTCCTAAGCATAGGATTTTCCAACTCCAGCAGCCTAAACAAAGCAAAACCCACTGGCATTAACAAACAAAAAAGAAATGGCAAATCATAGTTATGAGACAAGTATTGGAACAATCCTCCCTGTAATTATTATGGCCTAGCTCAAAACAAGCCATCACCACCCTGCCCCAAGATCACAGCCTCAGAAACTGCAGGAGCAGTAACAGAACGTGACATTTTTATTTGCATATTCTTTAGTTGTAGCATTAAGTCCAAAGCAAAGTAGTCCCAATTAAGGTGCTAACATTACAAACTGAATTTCAGCAGTGACAAAAAAAAGGGATTTCAACCTGTTTTCTGTGTCATTCAGGAGACTTTCAACTTTCATATATATACATAAAATAACATAATATATATAATAATTATTTAAGTAATAATCAGGGGTTGTTTATGCTTCTGATTGCAGAATCGCCTGTATAAGAATGCATATGGTAGCTGGTAAGAGCACATTTTTCTGTTGGAGTGTTGCAACTTGTTATGTTTATGCAGATCTAAAGCAATAACCTGACATGCCTGGAGGAAAACCAATAGATTTAGGTGTTACTCCATGCACAAGTCTTGAGAAAAATCACCTTAAAAGTCAAGATAGCTCAGATAAATGAGACATTTCACAACACCCTGATGAGACAACTTGCTCCTCCTGTAGAACTCGGACAGCCAACACAGCTCAAGTTCTCAAAGGTGACATGCGGCCTATTAGATGTGCAGATAGGGAAGCACAAATAACCATTGCATGTGATAATACATACTTACATTGGAATAAATGGCACTGTGTTGTTCCTTTGACAGGACTTAAAGCACTTCAGACTACAAATTTGAGGGAAAAAAGATACAAGCTAGCAAGACTGCAAGCTCACAACAGCCATTCAGCAGCCTTACAGCTCTCAAGGCACAGACCAGCAAGGTCTAAACAGCTTTAAAACCGTGCTATGGATAAAGTGGCAGTGGCAGTCAGCAGCTGTTTGAGGATGCTGATAACGAGAAGGTTTGACCACCAGTGCCTGTTACATCTAGGGGTAGGCAAACAGGTTCTTAACCAGGTCTGGGAAAGGAGCTGAACTTCAGAAGTGAATATAAATCAGTACCAACTGCTGAATGATGTTGATTGCTTCAGTGACCTAAGAAAGGGTCAGCTGGGGATGGGGAGGCAGAAGCTGATGGGATTAGTCTGCAAAGGAAGAGGGGCATCTTATTGCTTACAGAATATCAGAGGAAAATGAACATTTTGTATGACATGACATAAACCAGTCTTCACTGGGACATTATTTTTGATACCTAATAGAGTTCTCAAGCTCATCTTTGGAACTCCTTTAGGGTTGGGATGCTGACAGTGATTTTAAACATGATGGCTTTTAGATTTTTTAACATGATATCTTAACAATCTGGTATTACAGATGAGAGAACATAGCTACACATTTTCCCTTCCTCCCATGCCTCCATTCACTGTCTGATGCAGTTGTTCTGCATCAAGTTCAACATCTTCCAAGACAGCAATGGCAAACATACACATCTACCCAATTCTAGGTGAAAAAATCATGTGGTGTAAAAACAAGAGTTAACTTACTGTCTATTTTGCAGAAGTATCTTATCCAAAAAGCAGACCAAGGAAATTCTAGCAATCACCTGAGGGCTGAAGATGAATATTAGAGAAATGCCAGAATTTCTCCTATCCCTGGAAGTTGGTTTCTGATCCACAGGCAGGGAGCTTGTCCAGGGAACAGGGCAGAAAACTGCTCCACTGGACCAGGTCTTAGCTTGATTCACTTCACAGCCCCATAGACAGCCACCCTGACTTAGCAGAGAAGATAACATATCTCAAGTTCCTTTAGTGCTGACCATGAGGCCACAGCTTTAGTATTTTGGAATAACTTTTGGATCGGGAGTTGGATAATGTTATCACTGGACTACTTTTCTAATACCATTTGGAAGAGTCATTCCAAAGCATAAAGTGTCTTGTATTTTTAGGATACCCATTCTTTAACAATCTGCATGGTGCCAGATCAGTGTTTAATGTAGAGTCAAGAGACATGCTGTTGCACCACGGCACCACAATATTTTTCCTACCTACATGACAGCAAGTCAGATGCAAAAGATTTCCCACACACATTTTGCCAGTTTCTCCATTTAAAACAACAGTTTTCTCCACTAAATCTGTACCACTGGAACAGTGTTTATTATTGGAAGGAATAAATGTAGATCTAAAAAGAACAGATCTTATGAACCTGGCTGCATTTCCAAGCTCTTAGGAGAGTTGTGTGACAACCCCACTGCCCAGTGTGGTCACACAACACCCCATCTCTTGACCCCATTTTGTTGTCACACAAATCCCCACTGCAAAGGCTTGGGAAAAGCGTAACACCAACATGCAACACAAAAAGACCAATTTAAAAACCATCCTTTGAACAATTATAAGTGGCTGCCAGAGTACCACTTATGATATATCTATTAATCACATATTGCTAAAGAACTTACAGATCAGTTAATATTAGTTATAATTACATATAAATCCTTCAGCTTAACTGCGCCAAGATGAGCCTTTGCCCACATAAAGGCTTGTAACAATGAACAAAGCTTTGCAAAACACTCTGGTAAAGTACCAAGGATGTAGCATTTAGACACTCCTGGCTGCGTTTTAACTCCAGACAGCAACTAAGCACCACTCAGAAGCAGTAACAATGAAAACATCCCTGAATTACAGCACTGTTTCAAGCACAAATCCAAAACACAGCTCCATACCAGCTGCTCCAAAGAAAATTATCCCACGCATATCCAGCACACTGTCTGATGAGAAGGTCACCAGGATATATTGCTAGAAAACCCCCTGGATTTTCCTTTTACAAGGAGAAAGCCAACAACAAAATAACAAGTGGCTTTTCAGGAGGCCAAATGAAACCACCATGTATCTCACTCCCCATGTTTCTTTCTGGCTTCTTCTTTAAGACACAAAAAATAGGCAAGAGAGAACAAAACCACAAAACACAGTTTCTTTCCATCTTCCCTGTGCTCATCCAGGGGCACACATGCCAAACTCTATAAATGCACCTGAAATGGATACTCTCTCTAGAAGTTGCTTGTCAGACACATAAAAAGCAGACAAAAAAATAACTAAGCTTTATGAAGAAAATCTTTCAGTTAAGTGTATAGAGAACACATGTAAAATTAGGGCGGGGATGAAGGAATAGGCATTTCTTAGAGAAAATGCCTTAATAAGCAATACCAACAACCCTACACCAGATGCAGAGCAAGTGGGTATTCCGCAAATCATAAACCTATCCATTGCCTGCTACTCTCCAGGAAAGTATCCACAGATGCCAAAGCAGGTTTCTCTACACTAACCCCTCACCTCGCATTACACCACTAAATCAAATCCTGTCACAGGTAGAAGGTAACTCTCAAGAACCCCAAAATTCGAGTTGATCCTATACATCACTGCAGATCTGCTGCTCCTTAGGGGAAAGCAGCCCAGCTCCTGCTAGATCCCCAGCGGTCACTTTTGATATTTCAGGGAAAAAAACGTTATTCTAGCAGAGTACAACAGCACACACTTCATTACAAAGCTGGAATAAAAATGAACAAAATATATCCCCTACAAAAAAAACAAACCTAACAAAGCTACACTGCTTCTTGGCTGCTGCAGCTTTCACCCATGGGCTTCCTTGCCTTCTGGGCACAATTTCAGCATACTTAACTCTGCCCAAATACTGGCCTTCTGACAAAGGAGAGAATTTGGTTCTTTCCAAACTGTACAGATTAATATGCACAAGCTGTTAAGTGCAATGAATCTTTTTAAACAGATCTTGGCTGAAAATCTGTTATTTTTCCTAAAATTTGGTTCAGTGATCTCTTGTTTCAGAGGGAGTTAAGGTTGATAGTTCTGACCTGACCTAGCAGAGAAACTGTTGGGATGCAAACCTGCCACCACTGGGTCTTCCGATTTTCTGTAACACATTGCCATGGTTTAAACAAAGTCAGCCATAAATCGTGCAGTCTCTCTCTCACTCCCCCCCTTTTTGCCCTCCCCCTTCTCCCGGAGGGATGGGGAGGAGAATCAAAAGAATGCAACTCCCACAGGTTGAGATAAAAACAGTCCAGTAACTAAGGTATAACACAGATCACTGCTGCTACCACCAATAATAGTAATGACAAAGGAAATAACAAGGGAAGAGAATACAACACCTCATCACCCGCTGACCAATAACTTGCCCCCCCCCCCCAGCCAAACCAAGCACCGACTGACACCTAATCCAACCCCGCAGTCCTCTAGCCCTTCTGGGTGACTCTCAGTTACATCCTGGGCATGACGTGCTGTGGTACGGAATACCTCTTTGGTCAGTTTGGGTCAGGTGTCCTGTCTCTGCTTCCTTCTGGCTTCCCCTCCTCCCTGGCAGAGCATGAGGCTCAGAAAGTCCTTGGCCAGACCAAACATTTGAGCAGTAACTAAAAACATCTGTGTTATCAGCAACATTCCCAGGCCAAAAGTCAAAAACACAGGGCTGCACCAGCTACCAAGAAGGAGAAAAAAATGACTGCTACTGCTGAACCCAGGACACACATCCACCCTAGCTGCAGTACACAGATATTTAGGAGGCTGTCATCTTAACTCTCCAATGTGCTTTCATAGCTGACCTACACAATCCTGTCAGAATGCCCTATTTTCCTT